ATTGTCTCTAGTCATTAATCACGAGTTCAGGGGGTTATTTCCCAGTATCGATGGGCGTCAGGCGTGCGATACATTCATTACTTCAAAATCAATTTTAAGGCTTCAGCTCAAAGTTTGACGCACGTGACACACATATTGCGTATACGCCAGGCAGGCATCTGGCCCGTATTCTGTGCTTCCGTTCGCAGCTTTCAAAAAGTTATCAGCTATGTCTAGATAAAGTCATTTTTGCCATGCCGAAAGTTATTCAAAAGGCCAATTCGTGGGTAAAGGGAATAATAATCCAATCGAGCGCTTTAAAATTCACAGAGATTTATGTATTCAACGTCTAGTCAGAATGGATGACGAGTCCTTTCAATATGCTTGCCCCTACTTCTTGTTGTTGCATTCCTTTGTTCAGCAATGTGTTGACTTATTCTTGCAGCGGCACGACAACGGCAACACGTCGAAATAGGGATAAGTGGAAGTTAGCTGGATGTCCTTGCCAGCAGCGCCGCCCACCCTTTGACGCCCACTGCGTGCGTGTCAGTTGAAAGTCAAGCCAAAGTGAAACTGTCACAAATTGCATTTAAATTGCGCTGCACTTGAGTTTATCCCACGGATGTCGGATGTGCCCACAAGCGGAAAACAGCGTTATTGTAAAGCCAATTCTGAGTAACAACTGATAACGCTTCATATGTCTGGTAAATATAGTGATTATGATATATTTATGATAGATTGTGAGTTCGTAAAACCCAATTGCTTTTCGTGTGACGCCCTTTCGGATAACCAACAATAATTTGATGGCGAATGATTGATGATCAAGTGAAAACTGGAAATGAAAAGTTTTCCCCACAAACTTTTTCCCCAGCTAATTGCGGTTTCATTAACAGTTACAGCACAATCAACGGCAACCACTTTCGTTGACTTCCGCTCACACAACTACACAGACAACCTGCGTATCTGTGTGTGTGTGCAGTTGAAGTGGCGCCTCTTATAGCTGCAAGCGAAGCGGGTTAAGCGAGCATCAACTCAGTTGTTAGCCAGCTTAAGATCTTAATTTGACTATTTTCCTGTGCTTGGCACTTAAATCTCTGTTTCGCATAGAGTTTTCTCGACAGCCCATAAAATAAATGTACCCGCACAGCACGACAAGCCAATCAGGCCTGGTTGGTGGCCCATTAGAGGCTGCTGCGTTTTCATGCCAGGCACACAGAATCCCTGGTAATTTTTGCCATTGTTTTCCTGTGGCTTTGGCCTCAGCATTAGTCGGTCTCTCCATAAAATATTACCATAACACACACGCGCACATTTGCCCAACAAGAAATGATATCGCCACAATTTCATTTCGTTTAATTTCTTTTTGTTTTGTTTTCGGTTTTTGTTTTTTTTCCTTTTGACTTCTTCAAGTTTTCTTTTTGTAATGTTAATGAATGTCGAACCCAACATTTGTTGATAAGCAAAATTGGTCTAACATTAAAGCCATTCGGCGACATCCCTATGCAATTCTAGACTCGCGGGTGTGTCACGTCTTCAACGACACCTGCGCCTAACTCAACCGCTGAGTGACTATACCTTCTGCCAACCTGTATTTCTTGAAAATACAAAACGGGTATGCCAATGATGTGTTACGATAAGTTTGACGATAAAATACAGAAAAATAGTTAGTGTAACTCTGGTGACAGGAGGCATCGGTAGATAAACTGTCTACTAAAGGTTCCCGGTTCAAATCTCAATAATTGATAATAATAATAATTGATAATAATAATAATAATAATAATAGTAATAATAATAATAATAATATTAATAATAATAATAATAATAATAATTGATAATAATAATAATAATAATCACAATAATATTGCTAACCCTACTAATAAAATGTCTAATAATAATAAAAACTATAACAATAAAAACATAATAATAATCATCATGTTGTTAATTCGTTTGACTATGGTATGAAATAGTCGGGTATTTTTTCATTTGTTTTTCTTTGTATATTTTTTGTCGTAAATTGGCGAATTTACTTTTATGGCTATGTTAATTTTTATGTCAACGTTTTTATGGGATGCCATTGGAACAGCCCGCCGCTTCATGCCATACACCTGCCCTTACACCTGCCACCAAGCCTCCAGTTTGAAACTGTGCCACTGAGTAAGGCTTTTGCATTCCCGTTGTTGCTGCTGTGGGTGGCGAGTGTGTTAACTGAAATGCTTGTGATAAGCGATGAGTGGCAAGCACAGTGCAACATATGTCAGGTGTGCTTGTGGAAGTGTCAAACACACACACACACACACGCACACACACAGAGCCACACAGGCCGCAGATAATGTCCGGGTGTCTGTTTTGCATTTTAGCCGTGATAAGACAGGGGGCGGGCAAATGAGTGATTGAAAATCCATCTACATACGAATTTAATTAAATTCACATGTGTAGCCATGTCACAGGTGCGATAACAGGTGCTAGCCGTGGGTGGTTGGGTTGCGGAGCTGCGGGCGAGCCCGGTTCACTGTTCACTGTTCGAGAGTGATTTGCGGGTAATTTGCGAGCCATTTGTATGCTGCACACGCATTAGCATGTCGGACTACTTAATCAGCATAATCTCTTGGCCCACATTTTGCTAATCAGCGTTATTAATTTTATTTGCATACTCACGTACTCGCGCATATGTACATTGGTATTTATTTAAATTTAAATGTCTAAGACGTGATAAGGATATGTCGCGAACGTCTGACACTTATCGTGGACGCTTCAAAGTGCGCAATAAAAACTTTCCACGCGCTTTCAACGCCATCTGCCTCGTGCACGTTGCTTTGGCTTTGGCTAACGGCCATTGCCATTCATCATATTCGCAAAAGCTCGCTAAGAACAACAAAAACAACACAGCTGTCAATATGCCGTTGAGTGTGGTCAGTGACAGAAATGCAAAACGCGCGCTTGCATGTCGCGCCGCTTACCAACACTAACAACAATAACAGCAATGACAGCAACAACAGCAACGGCAGAAACGGGTCTGACAGCGGGTCAGCACACCCACTGCTGCGCCCACCCTCTCTGCCCACATATTTTTCGATCACATTTTAAGAAATGCCGTCAGTCGCAGCATGCTTATGATGCTGCTCTGCTGGCGCCGCTGCCAGCGTCACTGCCACCGGCAATGTACACACACAGGCATGCCCCGCCGCCACGCGCCACCGCCTGCAACTGAGACTGACTCATTTTGGGGCTCGCGTAAAATTAATTTAAATTGTGGAACAACAACAAAAAAAAATTGAATTGCATTGTAAGCTTTGGATTGTACGTTTTTTTTTTTTTTTTAATTTTTTTGTAGCTTTTGCCTCGGCAGCAGCTGTTGACATTGTTATTGTTGTTTTTATGACGCTTATCAATTATATTCTTGTTGCATGGGAAATTTATTTAAATAATCGTCGAGTGCGCTGTTGTTGTTGCTACGTGCAATTGCATAAGAATTCTCTATACGTGCATTTATGTACTTGTCAATGGGCTCTTGTGGGCTCAATTGAAAGTGGAAGGGGGGTATCGGAAATACATATATAGGCTTAAACGTTTACGACTGCATTTGCGAGCGAATGCTAATTGGATTTTCGGTATCCAATTGTCATACACTTATAACTTCGCCAATTGCATATGCTTGCATGTATGCATATATGTATGTGTGTTGAGTACAAGTATGTTCCATTAGGTGGTCACTTACCGTACCATATGCACACATGCATACACACACGTACATGGATATGTATGTAAGGAATCATGGAGTCATTCTAACGGAACTTGCGTCGGTGCGTCTGAAATAGGCCATAAAACATGGCTCCTAACTTTATTGTGAACTTTTTCTATTAATTTTATGCACATGCCCGCACACTAACAAACATTTCAAAATACTTATGTATGTTTTCATTGTTGTTGTTGTTGTTGTTGGCATGTTGTTTAAAATTTTGTCACGTTCTGTGTGGCAAAGCGAAGCGATTTCAACAAAAATTGCACGCACTCAAACGTACGCATAAAATTGAACGGCCCATGCGAAAACTAGATATTCTGTTTTCATTATTTGCAACGAAACACTCGAGTGTGCGATGCCGCGATAATTTATTAGTTCTACATTTTTGACATACTGCGCTGATCTCTTCTGGTCCACCAGACGTCATTCAGTCGCTTCTTTCTGCACTGTTGCAGCGCCAATTCTGTGCCCCAATCAATTTATAAACACAATTTTCCATTACACCCGGATCGCGCGAACAGAAATTAAAAAACACAAAAAACACATTTGCTGACAGACACCTGTTGCTAAAAGAAACGACCCGCCAACATTTGCGAACGTCTGAGGCTAAAGATGTTGAGCATGCAAAAGAGATATTAGGAGTTGCGGTACGAATAATGAAATTTGCTAAATTATAGAAACATGGCACGCGCGACTTTATGTTTTGTTTGGTAAATTTAAAATGTGTAACAGTTGCAAATGTTTTGGGGCTGTGACATTTGCTGCGAGTAACACTTACACTCTCCACCACAACCGACAATTTCAACCGTCAAATCCACACTGAACAGAGCGGCACATTCTAATTGGACTCGAGATGTATGGTCACACTCGCATCGGGTTAAGCTGCCGCGACTATCGTTTTGAAATCGATAGCTGATTGAAATTGATTTATTCACATTTTGTAAAATGTGTGCAATCTATATTTATAATATATATGAACACGTGTAGTCAATCAAAAAGTTGAGTTAATACAAACTTTTTTTATATCGTAACATTTTTTTTGTTTTTCCTAATAGTTGACAACTCATGTTGCGATTCCATATCGATGAATTTGTTGAAACTGTTTATCAATTAATATTTATTGAGTAAGCCTTGAATTTGTTGAGCTGCAATTTACGTGCAATATTTTATTTTCATGTTGATCTTTTTGGTGTGTTTTATTTTTAATACATCGACACTTCTTATCGATAGATTCGCATGTCGTGCCCAAGTAAAGAACACGCGCCCACCACTAGTCAGAATCGATAACGATAGCCGTAGTAGCCGTAGTCATTTACAATTTTCGTGACAAATATAACAAATGTGTTGTTTCCCGAGTGTGTGAGTGCGTGCAAAAAGCTAGTGTTAATTATTAATTGCTAACAATAGTGTGACATCCAATCGAAGAGACACGCGGCAGCAATAAAAGCAACATGAGTGGCGGTGGCATGGATAAAAGAAAACTGTCGTAAGTACAATTTCACAAACGCTTTTCTTCATGTTCCCTTTTTTTTTTCCTGCGCACACATACATACACGCCAGCCGTCTGCAGCTGGCAGATGCGCATTGCCAACGCCAATGGCAGCGGCAGCGCAGTCGACGTTCAATTGATTTTCCGCGCGCCAGCAACAACAACAGCAGCGCACAAGGCAGCAGCTGCTTAAACGGATGAATAAAATTCCTTTGGCTTGGGATAAACAAAAGCCAAATCCTTAAAATTTTGAGAGAGAGGCAGCTGCTTGGCAGTGTGCGTGTGTGTGTGGCTTGTATCTATGTGTGTGCAGGTGAATGCAGCTAATTTCTGCGAATAATTATTCTCAAGCGATGCATTCGTGAGATATTGACGGCATTTGGTGAATACGTACATGTGTACCATGTATTTGCCGCAACAAAAATTACACAAGCGCGCTGCAAATTCTGATGGGTTGTGATAACAACAAGTGCTCTCTCCCTCACACACACACACACACACACACACAGACACCTATAGCCAATGTTATGTGTTATCTATAACTACTTCAAGCTTTATAGCTTGTTATAGTGGCTAAATATTTGGCAGTTTGTGCTCTCATTCTACTTTACACACACACACATGCACACACATATGTACAAAAACAATTATAATTTGCTATGAGTAATGCTCGAGCGACCGACCCTTCCTTGCCCCACTTCTGAATGGTTTTCCACAGAGGCCACGCGGCTGCAGCTCGTTTTAGTAAATAGTGTCCTTGGCCTTGGCTGTGTTGCAATTCCACCCTTGCCGCCCACTTTGCTTTGAGTGCTGCTATCCCGAAGCCCTGACATTTTCTTGGGCCGACTCGTTTCCCTTATCAGCACGTATATTTGCCGTTAAGCGTAAAAGCGGCTAAGCTGCATTAGGCCCCTCTTCGTCTAATATGTTCATCCATATAAATAATAGGCAGCCAACCAATTCAGAAAATGTATACAAAATAAGTACACGGATGCAACTGACTGCTGTATACTCTATATTCATTTGGTCTTTGAGCTTTGGCATTGTCTATTTCAGATTTAGATGTTCGACATTCGCGACATGCCACGCCTCGGACACGCGGGCTGTCATGAGTGTATATACCACTTTTTTAATTCCCCAAATATGAATACCTGCGAGGAAATCGTTCTTTATACTCGGCCGCATTTCACGAGTGTATAAAAAAACTGCTGCTTAAGAAAACAGCCGTCGAAATGTAAATGACATTTGCAGTTAGCTTGAGCTGGAACGGAGTGGGTGGTGGTTGGTTGGGGAGGCATATTCACATCTTGGCTGGCTGGCAGTGTACAGCTGCGTACGCATCAAACAGTCCCCAAGCTGGGGCCCGCCTCAATGCCAAATGTGCTCAGAGTATATTTAGTGACGCCAACACCCACAGGGGCAAGAGTATGTCTGCGTGTGTGTGCTGCCCGCTATCGCGTGCTGCACTGGCCTTAACTGTTGCTGTGGAATGCCCAGCAACACCGTCGTCGAGGCTTAGTCATCAACGTCGCATCGAAGCTAGTCGCGAGTGGCAGTAGCCCGCGAATCTATAGGGAGTATCATTTATCAGAATGTGCAGGGCTCGCAATTAACTCTGCCGGCTCGCTTAAGAAACAACAAACCGCAGCCGACAATTGATTACAAATATTGCATATTCAGCGAACCGGACTGTGTTACATTTGGGTTGTGCAATCGATTGGCTGCGCCCCCACAGTCAATAAATAAATTCGCTCTTCACAAAATTATATACATATATAGATAATTAATACACAAATAAATTGTGTTCTCACTGTGGCAACTTGTTCAGGTTCTCCGTGTGAATGACTCGCTTTTCAAGCGTATTCTTTGTTATTGTTCATTCATTATTTGCTTTTGATTTTTGGTTCTTTTCAGCACATCGGGCGATTCGCTCTATGAAATCTTGGGACTTCCTAAAACAGCAACAGCTGATGATATCAAGAAGACTTATAGAAAACTTGCACTTAAATACCATCCAGATAAAAATCCAGACAACGCTGACGCTGCCGATAAGGTAAGATAAAAAAAGAACTGAATATATTTGTATTCGCCTTTTTACGATTAATTTCATCCGTCCACAGTTCAAGGAGGTCAATCGGGCACACTCGATACTGAGCGATCAGACGAAACGCAATATTTATGATAATTATGGTTCACTGGGTCTCTACATTGCCGAGCAGTTTGGCGAGGAGAATGTGAATGCGTACTTTGTGGTCACATCGCCGGCGGTAAAGGTGAGTCGTGCTGTGCTCAACGCCTTTCGCCTGTGCCTAGGCATTTGCTAATGGATTCTCTCTCTCTTTATTTTTCGCTGCAGGCCTTGGTCATTTGCTGCACATTGCTGACGGGCTGCTGTTGTTGCTGCTGCTGCTGCTGCTGTTGCAACTTCTGTTGCGGCAAGTTTAAACCACCGGTGAACGAGTCGCACGACCAGTATTCACATTTGAATGTGAGTGATGTTTGATTTGGTTATTGGTTATTGATTGCGCCCCCCCCTGCCCATCTACTAACCATTCAGAACTGATTTAATGCCAAAAAAAAAAAAAAAACAAGAAAAACAATCGATTTCAATATGAACACTACACACCCAACGAATGCTCTATCATAGACACATACATACCATTTACACCCACACGCACACAAACACGCACACTGCTTGTGTACATATAATACAGCACAGCACAGCACTTTAACCCAGAATCCAAGTTATATATATTTTTCAACATAACACTGGACATGTTTTGATGATTTTTGTGAGGCGCTTGTTTAGTCAAAAGTAGTTTTCCAGCTAAAACCATTTATATGCATATATTTAACTGGCATTTCGCAAATGGCTAATTCGGCACACAAACAATAAATGCTTTATTTAAATTATGTATTTCTCATTTTGTTTCTTCTTGTTTTCAATTGCTTGAGCGTTTTCATTTCATTTTTCCCTCATTTTCTTTTTTATTTGTTTTATTTTTTTTTTTTGCATTCATCTAGTACTACTCTCTACTTTCTCTATACTTTTGCTTAGTTTGAGGTAAGTATGTAGTTTAAGTTGTGGACAAGGGCAAGGGTATATACGACACGACTAACACCCACAAATGTTTCGATCATTTTCAACATTGATTTGTTTACTTTCTTAAACTTTGTTTATTTGAATAAATTTTGTTTCTCTATGAATGCGGACACCACGAAAATCATCAAATGTTTAAAAGCAGAAAGAAGTCTCCACTAATACATAAATACGCACTCGAAATTCAATTCAATGATTACTTAAAGTCAAATCAACACAACTTGATATGCATTTTGTAAACATTTAAAGACAATCGAACTTTCCTCGGTTTTTATTTTAGAGCTCACAAATGCTTTTCTCGTTGTTTTTCTTATTTATTTATTTTTTTTTACTGCGTCCCACTTTCTGTACATAATGAGATTGATTGATTGTTTTCTTGTGTGTGTATTCTTTGAATTCGATTTTCCTTTTATTTTTTTATGTACACTCTTATGTATGTATGTGACGGAAAAAACAAAACAACAAATTTACGTTTCTAATTTTGTTTATTTTTTTTCTCAAAACCACCTTTCGATCGACTCATCATACCCACCTACAACCTCACACACAATTGCGCCTGCGCGCGGCTCATTCTAAACTATATCGCATATGCATATACACGTGTACTATGTGTCGTGATTTGATCTGATACGATCCGATTCGATCATATATATGTGATATGTTTTGCTATATATTAACAAATGCCCAGCGCGCTGATGGCAATCGAGAGGCCAGCGATCTGCCACCGACTTTGGGACAAAATCCACGTCTTGTAAGTATAGAATTAGAAAATGTCACCGGCACGAGTACCGCATGATCTCAGGGCGAATACGAATCACGATGCAAATACCCAAATGTATTATTACACGTTTAACTAACCCAACCATCGTAACAAAATTTAGACGTTCTTTAAGAAATATTGATTACCATATTCAATTGCAAAATTGCACAATGCGAAGCGGAGCAAATCTTTGAACCGTACCCCATGTAAAGCGCTCAAGCGACAAGAGCTCACGGCTTGTTGGTGTTCTGTTCCCTAGGCTGCTGGGTAAATGAACTAACAAATTATATTTTCATTTAAACGAAGTTGTGCCGTAAAACCAAGTAACATGTAGTTTTAGTTCATTTTAGTTTTTTTTTTTCGTATGCGATATTTTAGTTTGCCAAGGCTGAACGCATTGTATGATACACGTATGTAAATATTTGATTGCTTTGTAAACGGCTTTCCTCTACTAACCGAAAACTCGTTGACTAAACAACGCGGAATAACAACCATTCAGATAACTCTTCAGCGACAAACAGACACATCTAGCTGTATACTCACTGAGCTGCTACTAATTCAATTCCATTTGCTATTGTCCGTACAGGAGGACGCTGATCTCGACGATGTCAACCTGGGCGCAGGAGGCGCACCTGTTACCACACAGCCGCGCGAACAGGCTGGTGGTCAGCCCGTTTTCGCCATGCCCCCGCCAAGCGGCGCTGCGGTTGGCGTGAATCCCTTCACCGGAGCACCGGTGGCGGCCAACGAGAACACATCGCTGAACGCAACAGAACAGACCACATACACACCAGGTATATAAACAGTTGGCCACGCTAACCAACCAGTAAAGGAATCGAGTATGTCGACTTCCCAGATATTATACTTCATCAATGTTAGAAAGACAGAACATCAAGAACACTTTGCAGAAGTACAATAACAAGCTTAACTCTAACAAAAAGCGTCTTTGACCATCGAACTTGTTGTTAATTCTGCGTGAAAATAGTTAAACAAACAAATATGAAATCTAAAATATTGTAAACCACAATAATCTTTTGAATGAATATATTGCAGAATAGTTTGATACAGAAATCACTCTACATGCTATAATAACTTTTTGCGCTCCCCACTGGTTTTGGGAGTTGAGTTAAAACCAACACAATATTCAATAATATATATTAACAAATATAAACAATTAATAGGCAACTTCTAGCAATAAGCTCCTATACACACACACAAACATACAGACATGCAATCGTAGCACAGTTATAGGACCTGAACGTATATTTTTAGACACTCATTTTCACGGCGAATATCTGACAAGATAGGGCATATACGCGTCCATATATATGTGTGTGTGTGTGTATGGATGTACGTATGTGCTATATATGCTGTGTATGTATGCCGCTTAGTCATACACTGACCCCCATTCAAGTTTTCCACCCTTCTTTCACTGGCTACTTTTGGTAATATCCACAAAAGAAAAAAAGAATCAGAGCTCGTCCATTAAAAAACATGAGATCGCATTTTTCCAAGAACCAGCTAAATATACTAAAATGGGGCACGATCAAACACTGCCTAGGGAACTAGATATATTCCCTGAGTGCGATATAACACCTATATATATATATATATATATTCTATAGGCTTGCGGCACTTGTATTGAAAGCCTCTCAACAAAAACAATAATGAAAAAAGAAAACATAAATTGTCTTCATGAAAAAAGAGATCAATTGAATTGCTCATGGAATTACAGCCTATTGTAAATACACGTTATATGTTTTTGTTGATCAAATTATTTAGATAATTGATAATTTCTTGATTTTCTTTTAATACCATCTGGTAAAGACTTGCGCGATAATTATTTATCACACTGCCAGTTTGAAGTTTAGAATTGTTTGTTTGGTAATTGAGTTTAGTTTTATGTTGAACATATAAGTATATTTAATTATGTTATTTTAATTTGTCTTTACTGCATCACTCTATTGTTTTCTCTCTTTCTCTTTTTCCTGCATCTAGATATGGTTAAGCAAAAATATTAGGTTCATGCTTCAAGCGAGACAAACCCCAATTCATGAGAGCGTTTTGAACAGCCACACACACTTTTTTTATTCCTTTTAATTGTTAAAAATTTGGTATGTTCAATAAATCGGAAAAAAAAATATATATATATATATACACACACTTATATTTATCATAAGCTTTAGAACATAACTCTAATTTATAATCTGAATTGTAAAGCGAAAGCTAGCACGTTTTAATCAATCCGAAAGAAAGAAATTCACAATAATATTCGAAATGTAATTTGCTACGAACAAACTAAGATGCATACAGGAAATGTTCGCGATGACGAGAAATGCAAATTGAATTGAGAATAGGACGCATTAATTAATATTCAGGCATTCATGCTATAACATATATTGATAGGTATTTAATCAGCGCGTTTGCATATAATCAATTACCATATGATACTTAGATACTGGCCTAAAGTGTTATTGTTTCATATACATACATATATATATATATGTGTATTCCTTTAACTGCGAATTGTAACTATATTTCGAAATTAGCAAGATCGAGCAAAGAGTTAAACTACTTAGAAGATATGCCAATAAAACCAAATTGTAAAGACAATGGTCGATGGTCGATGGTCGCGTGGCCCTTGTATCTAATTGCATCGGATTGTATCTAAACAGTAAGCTTTACTTTTAACTACGTCTATGTATGTGTGTGCCACATATACCATATTAGAATTAATTTGCATTTGTGTGTGAGTGCCCATAGCAAGTCGCCTCTTAGCTAAGAAAAATATTTGTTGTTAAAACTGGTCTTTCGTCTGGCAAATGAAGCGTGTGTACATTTGCCCAGCAACTTTTCGAAATTAGTTTACACAAAATTGTTAAAATATATATATATATATAAACACATATGTAAAGAATCCAATAAACTGTTGCTCTTGCTGAACAATGGGTCGCTGATGCAGACGTATCGAGCTCTAGTCTGTGGCCTATTGTGTTAACTGCAAATGTATATAAGTCAAGTTAAACAGCCTAGAATCGCGCCCAATGACAGAACTTGAAAAATAACTAAATAAATAGCAATCAAATTTAAATATAGTCGCAATCCTTAAAGTATTCTTATCCAAAAATTTATTCAAAAATTGTACGCTATTGTCCATTAAGTATTGAAAATTTCAATCGATTTTTCAAATTGTATTATTTATTTTCAAATTTCATTTTAAATAGTTTGCCTTTTGTTGTTTACAACATATTTCATTGAATTAACCAACAAATGTTGTCTCATGTGTATTCGTAAATTATGCAATTAGTCCCAAAGTGTTGTAATATTCCAAAAATTATATCATCGCTATCAATTATGAAGAACCAGCACATGTACACACACATAAAATTCAATACAAACATATATTATATATTATATAAATTTCAAAATAATGAAAATACCATTTTAAAGTTTTGCGTGTGTATCTATTGTTCGTACAAGTAAAATAAAACATTTCCAAAAATTTAAATTTAAAATTAAACAATTGTTTTCAAATTTAAATTTGCCAGAAACAAAATAAAACCAAAAAATCAATAAAAAAAAATAACTTATATAAAGCAATTCCACCGTTTGTTTGATTTTCCACCTGTTTGTGACTTCGAAAGGGTATACAAATGCGACTACCTAAACTTCAATTCTTTAAAGGAAATTCCATTGAAAGCTTCATTAGGAAGAAAAATGCCATGAATTCTGGGAAACTGATGTGAATTGGTAAACAAATACGGCAGCGGCTGTCTGATTGATAAAGCTTTTGACAGCTGACTCTGGCGGCAGTAAGCTTTTTCACTTCGCTGAGCTGCTCTCGCTCTCTTTTGGTTTGTTTTGTTTTGGTGCTGTAGCTTTGCAGTAACGGCAAAGCCGACACATGCGCTGTGCCAGTGAGAGCAATGGAGAGAGAGCGCGGCCTGAGGCTGGGCAGTAAGTAGAGACGGCTCGGCGCAACTTCGCTGCAGAGTTTGTACGGGTCAGAAACCGATAGTCAGTCGGAGAGTTCGTGTGCGACGCATTGCAAAGTTGAGACCGAATAATCAAAAGGTGTAATCCAGAAATATCTTCATTTTTTCTGCTGCTTAGTCAAAATCGGACAAATTGATAATGTGAATTGCAACTGCAATTGGGAAAAGGAGAAAAATTTCAACTGCTGCCAGCCAAACACACGATTCGAATAGCAACGGTTAAACGGAAGAAACAAAAGCCAATCCTTAGCCAATAGCAAAGCTGAAGAAAAATTTTCGAACGCTTTTGTGTGTGTGTGTGTATAGTGTATGTCCATGTGTGTGTTAATTTTTCATGCGCAATTTGGGTTACAAAGCAAAGCGTGCGGTGAAAAACGAAAAACGGTGCTTAAAATGCAATAAAATGTTTTAGGCAGCAGGGGCTTCATTGATTTTCTTACGCACAAAGGTATGCTACATAAAACTGAGGAATTGATATCGGACCGTGATGGCTCCAAGTGAAAATGAGGCTGAAAACTCTCTGGCCGCAGTGGGAGCGTAAACGCGTCACTCGCCCCAGCATCAGAAGCATCAGCATCGAAATTAGCAAAGAGCAACAAAGGACAACCAGGATGTGGACGACGGCAGCGACATCGGCGCCATGTAGCTGCTAGGCAAGGCGACGACGCTCCAGAAACAACAAACCGCAGCAAACCAATAAGTGCGACCACCACACAAAACGAGTGGAAGACTTTCGGGCGACTATCTCTGACTATTGGGCAAATTGCAGGCGCAGTGCGGGCACATTGCCAAGCTGGCTCCCGTACTGCCCAGTAGCGGCATGGCCGGCCTCGTTAGCGCCGCCAGTGGTGGGAGTGGCGGTGGGAGCAATGGCAGCACGGGCAGCGGCTACAAGCACCAGCACCAGCATCATCTCATTTCGCCGACCCACACATCGCTGGGACACACGCACACGCACACACACACACTGCCGGCCGGCATATGCAGCAGCGACAGCGGCATTTCCACGCTGAGCGCCATCTCGCCGCCGCTTTCGGCCGGCAATTCGGTGTGCAGCACCACAGCGGCAACAGCTGCCGGCGGCAGTCCCCAGCTGCGCACTTCGCCGGCGCTTAGCATGCTGGGCAGCGGTACGGCTACGGCCAGCGGAAAGGCGCAGACGCAAACACTGAGCCCGGCGGGCGGCGGCTCGCCCAACTATTTGAGCACAATGAAACTGCTCGGCCCGGCGGCTAGCATTGATTTGGGCAGCTCACCGCTGTCGCATCGCAACTACAGCAACTCGCTGAAGGGGTTCAGCTTTCGGCGCAGCTTCGACGACAAGATCATTGCGCCGCCGTTCTTGTCGCACGCCCATGGACTTGGCTATGGGGGTGGTACAGCGGCAACTCCGGCGCCCGCGCCCATACCCTATCCACACTTCCATCCGGCGACGCATCATCATGTCAATGTGGCAACTCCATTGGTCACTTCCGCACATCATCTGCACTTGCATCATCACGGATCGGGCGTGGCCCATCAGCCGCTGTCGCTGGGCACGCTGACGTCCTCGCAGTCGACCACAAAGCTCTCGTACCGCGACGACTTTCTTCAGCAGATTGGCTACCTGCCAACGACGCGTATTTACAGCACCCCGACGAGCATCGTTGACGAGGACAAGGCCCAGCAGGACTTTCTCTCTCTATCACTCTCACCGCCCCTCAATCGGCGCCGCGATATGCCAGCACTGCGAGGACCCTTCGTCAGCCTGTGAGTAGCCGCCTCCACCTAGTCATAGACCTTTCATTATTTCTATTTGACACACTTATGCCCCATATGTGTACGCAACGTGGGCCCAATTAAATGCATCGCGCCCACGAGCACCTCTCAATTTCTGTGCTGACAGGTCAGCCAACTGCTGTCGTTCCCAGGCAGCGCACAGTGGGGCGCAACTGCCACAAATACACGAACATTTTCGAGGGGCTGGCTGCTGTCGAGCGAGGCAATCAGATAGACAAAGACTATATACACTTTATGGGATCAGAGATCTCGTATTTTATGTTATTTAACTTCAGTTAGATTTCGTTGCTGCTTGCGCCACAGTGCTTTAACGGCGAAGAGGACAACAGTTGCAACATTAATTGCGATATTTGCGCGAGTTTACAGCGAGCCATATTTCCGCCCACACATGCACACACGTATGTATTTACAGATAAGCCCACGCACTGACCAATCCAACGGTTGCTTGGGTTTGTTTACGTTTTTAATTTGCCTTAACCACAAAATAACCTTGTGACGCCAAACGTTCGTCTTGCCCCGCAGTATCACAGCCACACTCACACTCTCACACATATACACACATAGAACTGAAAAGAGATGAGCACGTGCCTTGTTTTCAATGCTCGCCATGGCGAACCAGCACAGACAATTTTTTTTGTATCCTGGCACGCATCCCAATAAACATGCTACACTTTTAATATAATTTTTTTGCTTTGTGTATCGTAGTAGAGGCATTTTTATTTTACAGCTGCGACTCTTCTGTTGGGTTCTGGTCGTTTGCTTTGTGTCAATAAACCGTTTCTTTTCATTATTTGTATCGATATTTCGAGATTGGGAAGAGTTAGCTTCGATATTCAAATCAATATTATTAATTTTCCTCTGGCCACATCGTGCCTTTAGTTGACTCGATGAACGACGTAAATAGCCATAGCCCGCGCCCATCTCTATTACGTATGCTGCACTTGGGGAAAACTATGACGTTTTCACGCTCTCGCAGGCCAATACACACACACATAACTGCACACATTTTAAACGAAGCGCGTGTGTTGTTTGCACTTATTTTTACAGCGATTTATTGTTGTTATACACACGCATACATATATGCACAATCTATAAATAATAATATAAAGAAACAGCCGCCGCGGAGAATTGAGCGAACAGGCAACAAAGCAGAGATGTAAGGTGCGTGCTTCTCTTTGTGCATTAGGGTGACTCATGCAAGGAACAAGTGTTTTATTAGAGGGTACCACAGGCACTTCGTAATGTAACAAATGCTGGCCCAGAGCTCTGAAATGGGCGCAGAAATCAATACTCACAGACTGCTTAGTCACTTAAAAACTTTAAATGCATGTCGCATGGCATCAATTGAACTGAAAGTTCAACACACATTTTATATTGTTTCAAAGTAAACAGCGGTTCGGCAATGCCATAGACCCAATTTTGGCACATTGCCTAAGAAATCCGTTACAATAATAATGATGATAATGATGATGCTGTTCGACGCTCGATGCTTGTGCTGTGCGATTTCCATGACCGGCACTTGCCGCCGCCTTGGCAGCCGCGTGGTTCTACGACGTCGACGAGTTGATGAAGTACATTGGATAATGACGCCAAAATACGTACACATATATATATATATATATATATATGTATGCAAGTATGCATACTCTTATGTACGTATGTATGTATAAAGGTATGCATATGTGTTTGGTTGACTATTGTGGGGCTCTTCAGTCGCTCAGTTCAACACACACACACACACACAAACACATGGATACTCGATGGATTTGGCTTGTAGTTGATAAAAGCAACAACAGAAAAACAGAAAATACTCGCTATACGACACGAATTGAATTCTTTGACTTTGGCTCGCTCATTTGGTGGGCAAATACAAAAACACGGGCGTTTTGGCATTCTCGGAAATGGTAGCGAACCAAACGGTTGTCGAGCGAAAGATACAGATACTTTTCATAATTCAAATTTCTGCGTTGTGCGATTTATTTATTTACCTCCGCATCCTCAACGCGTGCGTTATGTAAGGCCTCTTCGAAAGTAAAGAGTGCAAACTGTTTGCGAGCGTACAAAAACAATGCTAAAACTAACGCAGGCCGCCAACGCATAGGAAAGTCAAGGTCGTCGCCAGCCCCTTCTGTTGTGCCCGTCCCTGTTGGGGACACGCCCCCCCATTACTGCGCCTGTGTGCAATGTAGGCGAAAATCCAATATTCGAACGAACTCAAACTATCACTATCGAAATGGACAACTGG